AACACCTTTTCTCTTTCCATAATGAGACTATAACTCATGCATGCCACAAGATCCACATCCAAGACTCGATTTTTATGACTCTTCAACACATTTTACACTAGAAAAGGTCAGATCTAAGCTTATGGAGACTCTTTGCACATAAAGTCTCCAACTTTGAACCAAAACCCTAAAAAATGGTCCAACAAGCAAAACTTATGAAGAACAAGGAAAGCTTTGAGCTTTTTACCTCAGGAAGGATCTCCAACCACTGTAGAACTCGGATCTACACTTGTTCTTCAACTTCTAGCTCCAACAATAACTCCCTCTTCTCCTTCTTCACCTTGACAAGACAACTTCGAGCTCAAAAACTCACACACAAGCTAAAGCACGAATCTCAGCTCTCCAAGGGTGTATGGTGGCTAGGTCAAGGGACTACATGTTCCTTTTATAGTGCAAGGCCACAAATTAGGGTCTTACATCTGGGCCGGTTACGGCCGACGTAACCTTGGGTACGCCCAACGTACCCGTATGAACACGCGTATAAATTAAGCGCATGAGTACGCGCGACGTATGCCCCAGTACTCCCAGCGTACTCACCAAATCATCTTTTTAACTTCAAGGGACTAAAATGCCAACTCTCAAAAATAGAAGGGCCATAAAGCTAACCTATAATTCGGGCTGTTACAATCTTATTCTGACGACTTTAATCGAACATCTTTTAGACATTCTATTTCAATCAATCTATTTTTTGCCACCATCTGTAAGCATGGAGGCATCAGGTGGATGGAAGGCGACGAACATGAAGATGAAGAAGAAGAGTAGTCGAATAGAGGATCTAGAAGTTGCTGTCATGATGGCGGATAAAAGGCCAACGGTGGTGCTCGGATGTATGAATCGATTTCTGGTCGAAATTAAGGTACAGAGGTATCAATGATTTGAGGAAGCCGTCGATGGTCAGGGATGTTGGCTTTGTAGGGTTAAACTACCAGCATATCATGATAGTGGGTTTTCCGCATCTCCTCGTCTCCTGCATACTGGGGCACCAATAATGCCCTCTCCCGGAACTTGGCGGTGATCTCCGTCATTTTCTCAGTCGTCTATCTCATATCGAGGAACTCCCTGGCCAACTGTTGAAGCTCCACAGCTGGCGCGAACTCAGCCTTGAACCGGGCTACAAAATCTGGCCAAGTCATAACTTCAATAGCTGAGGCTCCAAGAGAGTCACCAACCGGCTCCCACTAATCTCTAGCTCATCAACTGTGCAGACTCGATGTCTGTAATCCATCTCCTAGCCACGATGGGGTCCTTCACCCCATGGAAATCTGGCGCACCACTCCCCCTGAAGTCCTTGAAGGACAATGTTCGTGATCCTGACTGGCTGAGCGCCATGTTGCTCCTGAACGCTCTGAGGCGATCCTCCATCAGCTCTACAATCCCTTCCTTGATCGACCCAAAAATGACCGGGGTCGCCTCAAGGATACCTCTCGTGATCTCTAACGCGATGATGAGTAGGTAGGTGTGGGTTTAAGGTAGTAAGAAGAAGTTGTGTAGACTCATAGCTCTCTAAAAAGGTGTAGGAAGGATCTTTGTTTAGTGTTATCGACCCAAAAGGAAAAATGGTTTCATAAAAAAACAACGTGTCTAGAGATGATGATATTCTTTGTATCAAGGTTAAGACAATGGTATCCTCTATGATTTGGATACCCAAGGAAGATGCATGGTGTTGATCTTAGGTCAAGTTTATGAGAAGCATTGATATAAGGGTAACAGAGGAAACCAAACACACGCATATGGTCATAGGAAGGGTGTTGATTATAGAGTTTATAGAAGGAGAGACATTGCAAAGAGGGATAGAAGGAAGGATATTGAGAAGGTGAGTAGCCATATGAAGGGATTCAGTCCAGAATGTGGGAGGAAGCCGAGCATGAAACAAAAGGGTGCGAATGGCATTACTCAAGGTGTGTAGCATGCGTTTGATTTTTCTATTTTGTTGAGAGGTGTAAGGACATGAAAAATGGAAATGAATGCCCTTTTGAGAAAAAAGAGCATGAAATTTATGATTTTCATACTCACCACCATTATCACATTGAAAAGACTTGATGTCCATCTTAAATTGGTTGTGGACAAAAATTTTAAAGTGCACGAATTTTTCAAAACACATAAGATTTGGCACGAATAGGGTAAACCCAAACATAATGAAAAAAAATCATCCAAGAATATGACATAATATTTAATATCATTCAAACTTTCCATAGGGGATGTCCATACATTAGAATGAACTAATTCAAAAGAAAATTGAGAAACAAAGGTGGAGGTACTAAATGGAAATTTAATATTTTTTTCCCAATTGACATGCATGACACAAAGTTGAATCTTTAGTAGAAGAACATGAAATAAAACGATTATGGACAAGTTTTTTGAGGATGTGTTGACCAGGATGACGAAGACGTTGGTGCTAAACAGATGGAGAAATGGAAACGAAGGATTAAGTTTTTAGAGAAGTGACAGGATAAAGATCATCGGCGCCATCACATCGGATGAGAGTTTGTTTGGTGCGATAGTCCTTCACAGAAAAACTAATAGTGTCAATTTCAATAGAGCAATCATTTTCATGACAAAACGACGAACATAAATCAGATTTTTAATAATAAAAGGAGTAATTAAAACATTTTGAAGATTTATGGTACAGTAAGGATTAGGAAGCAGAAGAGTAGTGTGTCCCATTTTTGTTACAGGTATTAAGGATTCATCACCAACTAAGACGACCCCCATGGTAGCCTCCTCTACCACCTTGGCAACCATGACGACCCCCACAGTAACCATGACTATTTAACATCCTCCTCCCCGACGACCTTGGCAACCATGACGGGGAGAAGAAGGTGAACTATTTGTGGGATTTTGAACAGTAAGAGCACGGGGAGAAGAATAACTATCAACATGAGTAATGATAAGTCATGTTTTTCATCTTGTATCATCTGTTGTTGTTCACATATGAGTATGGATCTTGCACCCAGACATATGGAGGTGGCCTCGATGCCTGATATTGATTGCAATGTAGCAAAACTTTGAAGACAAACCATTAATCATATATGCAACAAGATTGGTTTCAGGGACTTTAGCATCCATGTGCTCCAATCGATCAGCAATATATTTGATTTTATTATAGTACTCTGTGATGGAAGAATTACCAAAATGATGTTTCTGAGTTCACGATCCAACTGAATAACCTTGGATGCTTTCTTATCACGAAAAACGTTTTGAAGATGTTCCCAAACTTCATAAGTTGTTTCCTGCTTCTTAAAAATCATGTGGAGAAGAGATATGGAGAGAGTGCCATATAACCATGATTTCAAGATGGAGTCAAGACGAAGCCAATTATCCTTTGCAGCAACAGATTCTGCAGTAGTTTTTTCTTTATCTTTGTCGCTTGTTGTAGTAACACGAGGCTTGAGATGGTCATCTACTCATCTACTCCATACCCAATATAGTGAATTTCAAATAACTCCCTCCAAATATCATAATTCATCTGATCCAAGTCTAGTACAAAAGGAACTACATGCTTGATATTGATTGTGGATGATGGCTTGTCATTCATGGGGAGAGACATGCTGAGAAGCAGAGAAGAAAAAGAGATGGAGAAGCAGAGAAGGTAGGAAACAGAATAATAGGAGAAAGATCGAACAGTTTGCAAACAGCTGATGTCGAGTAGGGTTTAAGGGTAATCAGGCGATATTGCTTTGATACCATGTAATTGTGATTATATTCTCGTAACCATTTCTCCCATTCATTTAATCAATATATATACAATGAATTCAAATGTATAGAAAATGGGCCAAAGCATACATGTGCTGACAATAATAAGAAGCTGATACAAACTAATAAAACTATGCTAACATGATATTCATTCAAGCACACCAAAATCACAAATGAGAGCTCTCTTCATTCAAATCGTTTTTTCTCTTTCAAATAGAGAGCACACCCACTAGATACTCTCATACTTTCGACATATGGCTAGAATAGTTCCTCGTGATTCTTAGTTCTAGTATTTGACATCATTTCCAATAAACTTCTTTAATGAAACCTCTACTTAATTGACTAGGTCAACCCTAGATAAACAAGTTTGAATAGTTGCTAATCCTTGTTCCACTTCTATATTTTCTACATTCACATCATACAGTTTGTAACCTGGAAAGCTTAACTCTTTCCTTACCAATATAAGTATATTGAGCATATCTCATTCCTCCTTTGAATATGTTGATGGTGAGATTCTTTTGAAGATAGCTTCATCTATGTCCCCGATAAATGGGGAACAACACATTTCTATACTTCTTCTTCGACTCTCTTAGAATCATTTGTAGGTTTAATTAAGTTTGTTTGATATGATATCTGGGTTCAGTAATCCAACTCATCGATTTAATGCGGAAGTAGTTAGAAGATGTGTTTTGTGAATCCATCTAATTCTTTATTTTTTTGTTTTCTGCACGTACGTTCATTTTTTAACCAAAGGTCCTATACCAATTGTTGGATTTAACGTTAGAACATCAATAATTTTTCATAAAGATTACTATGAACATGATAGTTCGTTTACCATGTTGCGCAACAAGCTAAGAGTATGCGAAAGTTAGAATGATAGCTAGCGCTTCCAATTTAAGGGACACATTGTTGTGTCCGACGCAGTAGTATATCATTATAAAGTCATCAAATTCTTTCAATACTTCTAAATGTTGTTACTACATAACTCGATAAAATAAGATATAAAATATTTAATAAAAAGGTAAATATATGATATAGGAAAGAGGTAGCTTACTGCATGCACTGATAAAACCCTCATTAATCTAAGAAACAAAATCAGACATGTAAGTTATAGAAGAAGTTGTATTTGTACACCCCCCCCCCCCTATAATCTACTATAATCTAACCTATTAATTATTATCTATCCAATATGTAAGGATGTCTAGTTCTGAAACCAATATGTAATATCATGGTGATGGTGGCTTGTATCTTTGGAGAGGATCACCCTCATAGTCTATATCATTGAGTTCAGACCACTCGCTGATGCTGACTACGTTTGCAGTTGTAGCGGGAGCAATGGACAGGAAATTAATGGGGTTGGAGTGTATGGTGCCGGTGCTGTTAAGGGCCATGTTATGACCTGCTGTCCATACACTCGGCGGTGGTTGGTGGTGCTGTTGTCGTTGAAGACGAGGAAAGCCAGAATCACGAAAACCATATGGGTTTGATCGAGCTGCTGGCGGAAGAGCTCCACCACCAAACCCTACATTAAAAGCATCCAATGCAGTGTTCACACCACCGAACTCGCCACCTGGGCCAAACCTGAAAGATGTTTGGTTGGAACCACCACCGCAATTAAATGATAGCATAGTTTCTGTGATTGGTGGCGGAAATGTGCCACGACCAATGCTTGGAGAGCCAAAGCCACCTGTAGAGTTATCTGGAGCTCCCAATTCCCATGCTGTCGTCGGTGGTGGAAGCATGAATCGTGACGTCGATGATGCAGTATCAATCCTACCCCGCTTGCGGCTGGTTCCACCAGTAGGAATGTTCCTAAGGGCTCCACCATGGGTCCAGTAGCGGCGGCAATCCTTGCAGTAATAGCGCGGCTGGGACACAGTGTAGTTGTTATAGTAACAAAACTTTGTGTGATCAGAGTAGCACCGAGGACAACTTGGAGGAGGGAATGAAGGAGGAGCCACCTGCTGTTGGGGTCGCCTTCCTGATTCCTTCTGGCTCATATTGCTCGATATTTCTTAATCTTTTTGTGAGAACATCTGGAGGTCATTTGATCAGGCTTATTTATATGGGAGGTGTGAGGTTTGACCATGTTAAGTTCAGGTTCAGGAATGTGTGTAAAAACAATCTACAGTCGTCAACGTTTTCAAAAATTTCAACTAATTAATTCATTTAGACCCGTTTATTTTGTCTCATGTGTATATGTATCGTAAGCAGTTGGTTGCAAGAAGACATTTTCGTTGAATATTGACTCGTATACTGGCATGAGTCAAAGGAAGAGTGAGAAATTAATGAAGGGTTTTGTTAATGTTAATTAAGGATGACTGGATTAGTATTCTAATAAAATCATAATGTAGAAAAATAAACCTATAAACTAAATTATACTACTTAAATCATACAATTTCGATATGAACAAAAGATTGTATTTTCTTCTAACATTTTTTATTTCGAATTTATTGTTATACATGTTATTATTTCAGTTAAAAACAATTATCTTATTTAACGATCGTGAATGGTACACCAATTTAATAGTACTTATTTTTAAATCAAGTTTTCAGTCAAAGTATAAATTTACCTTCTATTATTATTGTTGACTTATATTATAATTATCAATTTTCTTACTAAATATGATGTATGTTCTTAATATAAAATAAGTTGTTATTTTCTTTGTTCTTGTTTTTGTTTATGTTCTTATTAATTTTTATTTTTCAAGAATGATAGTTTTATATGAAGGAAACTACCATTGACATTGGAAAAAAAAATAATGAAATTCCCACCGGTCTTAGAGCATCTACATTGGTCAAGCTCTTGCAAATGAGTTTGACATGCTTCATATGCATTTATATTTCAACTTCTGAAAGTTCTTGCAAATGGATTTGACATGCTACATATGCATTTATATTTCAACTTCTAAAAGTTCATTTGCAAGTCCATATCATCATATTTATATTATTTTAAAGATAATTGTTACTAATATTATATATGATGAAGTTATACATATTATATATGTAAGATTAATTACTCATATATATATATATATATATATATATATATATATATATATATATATATATATATATATATATATATATATATATATATATATATATATAATTTATTAATTATAATTTATAATGGTGTTTTTATTAAAATATAAAAGGTGGTTGTAAATGTGGCAATGAAACCACTTTTGAAAAGTTAATGATATAGCATTGATATAGAAGTAATTGTAAAATCTGATGTGATATGTTTGAAAGATGAGTAATATTGTACGGATATAGATGATCTTATCCTTTGCAAAAGTTATGTTTTTAATTGTATTAAAAAATAAAACTAAATAAAGATATCACATATCCTTTTATTTTTTGTTCATATCCATTTTGCTATTTAGAGCAAGACAAATATCAAAATAAAAATATTAAATTAAGATATATAATTAATAGATTTTACATGTAATTAATTTATATAAACCGGAAAATGAATAAGAACAAACAATATGTGGATATTTAATTTCTCGAAAAATATAAGTGACGACAAGTGTTGTTATCTAGATAAATATAGTAATCCTTACAACATATTCACAGAACATATGTTGCTAAAAATCAATATTAAAAGCAAGATAAGAACAAAAAAGAAAAAAAAAACATAAAAATGATTACAACAATAATCTCACTACTAATGCATGTTCAATGTTGGACATTAATTAAGGTATCGTTTGGTAGATGGACAAGATAAGACATGATATAACTAGATTGAACTAGACTAAACAGATTATATATCTAATGGCGTTTGACGACACTAGCATAAACAATAACAAAACTACTAAAATTACCATATTACCCTTACATAATAAACACAAAACAATATAACTATGAAAACTAAAAAAACAAGAACCCTATTCTCTTTACATAGAAAACCATAATTTTTTAAGCAACACTTCAATTAATTTTATTTCATATAAACATCACCAAAACCAATCTAGATCTACATATATTAAAAATGCATATTGATTAAATTTTACAACCGACTATCAAAACTATGGTGCGTATCTTTTTCCAAAAGAATGGAGAATTGAATATATGAAATTCTAGTTAATTACCAATAATCACATATATGGGAGATGTGAAACAAGTAATGAATTATGACAAGATAACAAGAAAGGATGTTGATTTACGTTTAGCGTGAGAGAGGTTAAGGGTTTTATATTCGCTTTTCAGTATCCTCTTTATTGTACCGTTTTCAGAAACATTCATTCTCTTTTATATCTCAAATTTTCACTTTATTATTTTTTAAATATTTAGTGGATGATCTTTGACTCAAAAAATAAGAAAAATAATAATTGGTTGGTCTGTCTCTCATCTTTAGCTAGATGGACAGTGATAATGGTAGTCTTTGTTTCATCTCTAACGAAGGGACAGGGGTTGACCGAAGTGGTGAAGGTGAAGCGGAAACAAAAGACAAGAGATGATAAGGGAATTATTCTTATTTCATTTTAATATCTTATCCCAACGTGTTCTATCATTTTGGGTGAGACAAAATGGAGTGAATTAGTCTCATTTCACTTAGTCAAAATCTGATTTTGTCCAAGTTCCATTCATGCCAAACCTTTTCAAAATTAGTTATTTTGTCCAGTTCAGTTGAGTCCTATGCACCAAATGTTGTCTAAGTCCATAGCAATGTCACGCAATCATGTCATAATTTTTATAAAACATTTACATTTTATAAGGGTTATACTATTTGGACCCTAGATTTAGGGAAAATATCAGTGTAACCTCATGAACTTACGTATTTTGGTTTAAAAGGTCTGTATTGTTATTTTTTTTGGTTTTATAAGGGTATGAATTCACATTTTACCTACTTTTATGGCCATTTTCTAGAAAGTGAAGGGGTCACCCGTGATCCCCTTCCCAATCAATCGGTTATGTTGTACATGTCGTAAAAAAAAAAGTGAACTCATATGCAAAATTAGATGCCACCTAATGTATCGTTAAGTGAGATATGTAACCCTTCATCTAGAAGCTACATTCTTGTGCAGTCGCTTTCTTCTGCCACTTTCTTCTATTTTCTTCTATTGCTCCTCGCAAAAATTCTCCATTGGATTCTTGCTATGGTCGTCGTCTACATGAAGATTGATCTTTATTTTGCTAGTGTGTTTATGAGGTACCTAGTGATAAGTTACTCAAATCAAGCAGTTCAGAGGTTTGAGGATGTGGATTTTGATGGAATTGACAAAAATGTATTTGTGTTGTTCATTTAAAGATTCGCAAATGAGACATGCGTTAATGTGTGTTTTTTCATGCCCGATATTGTGTTCCCTGATGGATTGAGGATAATAGCAACTGAAAAGGACTAACAGGAGTTGATCGAAGTAGGGTATGATTGTGGTTGTGTAATTTATATGTACATGGATCATGTTGGTGTCAATGTCCATCATTGGATTCTTGATGAACAAGCTAAAGTATGCACCTTGAGGATAAGTTTTCTAGTATAGGTGAAGTAATAGAAGAGTTGCATGCAGAGAAGAAGGTGGCATTGATCTAGATGAAGTGAAAGTGCAAGGTAATTTGGAAGATAACATTGCAGATGTTGATTGCTTTCCAATGAACAAGATCTTTAATAATGTGTTTTTGAACAAGCTCTGCCCCAAGGAGCAGCCAACCCCATACAATCCACCTCATAAGGATCCATATGATCAGATGGATGAAAACGCACCAATTCTTGAGGAGGTAACAACTTCTAATGAAAATTTTCATTGGAAAAGAAAAAGCCCATGTTAGGAATGAGATTTGAAAGTCCTAAACAATTAAAACATATCTTGTGTAATTATGTTGTTGCTAAAGGTTATCAATTATGCTACAAAAAATAACAGTGGGAGACTTTTAGTTAAATGTTGTTCAGGGCAGTGCAAGTTTAGATTGTGGGTTTTATGAATGAGTGAAGAAAATTCTTTCTAGATTAAGTCTCTTATAGATAAGCATAATTGTGCAAGAAATTTCAAAATGGCGTCAGTTGTTAACTATGCATGGATTGGTAGCCATTTTACAACATAATTCTTACACAAACAAAAAAAATGAGTGTTAGGGTACTTAAAGAAGAAGTGAAATAGAAATTTGGAATTGATGTGAGTATGGAATAGTGTAGGAGAGCAAACAAATGTGCAATTGAACTAATTTAAACACACTAGTTGAGAATTAAACCATGCTTTGGTCATATGGTGAGGAGATAAGAAGATCCAATCTATGATCAATTGTTAGAATAGATGTCAATAGTATGCCTGATGGGAAGACATATTTTAGTATGTTTTATATATGTTTTGAGGGTTGAAGCAAGGTTGGAAAGGCAGTTGTCGAAGAGTAAGAAACCTAGATGGTTGTTCCTTAAAGGGGTTATGTAGTGGAGAGTTGATATATGTTGTAGGAAGAGATACTAACAATCATATTTTCCCAATAGCATAGGTAGTCGTTTGTGTGGAAAACAAATAAAATTAGAAATAGTTTTTTTGGAGAATCTTAAAGAAGACCTAGAAATGGAAAATGGTTTTGGTTTTACCTTGATGTCAGATCAACATAAGGTATGTCACTTACTATACAACTTAATGTAATTTCTTAATGAATTTGTATTATCTTAACAGATGATCTTAAATTGTGTATGGGTTGTTGGAGGCTGTGGAGGAGGTATTGTCTTTTACTAAACACAGATAGAGTGCAAGGCATATTGTTTTCAACTTCATGAAAAGGTTCAGTGGTGTACATTTAAAGAGGATGTTTTGGACATCATGCAAGGCATCCACTGAGCCTTTATTCAATGCAGTCATGAAGGAAATCAAACTCCTTAATCCTACATCATTTTATTACCTTATGGAAAAGAACCAAAAATCATGGTGTAAAGCTTTCTTTCAAGAGGGTAGGATGTGTGATGCAGTTGAAAATGGATTATCTGAAAGTTTTAACAATGTCATTAGAGATGCAAGTAAAAAACCAATACAATGTTAGAAGAAATTAGG